TAAAGAAAATGTGGCATTAAACACAGTGGAATACTACTCTGTCATAAAGAAGGATAAATCTGAGTTGTTTGTAGGGAAGTGGATGATTCATTTTGAGATCATAATGTTAAGTGAAATAAATCAATCATGCAAGCTTAAATATTGCATGGTTTCTCTTATATGAGAAACCCAAAGAGCAAAATAAAAGGTAGATAATAGGAAACAGGGAGATACATCTTTTGCAAATGGGAAAGGGATCTAGAGATGGAGGGGAAGGGAAGAAGGAGAAGAAGTAAAAAGAATAAAGATGTGTCATGTACATGTACCAACTTCCCATGATGAATATAATCATTACGTACAGCAAACATGTACTAATAAAAAAACTGCCTTCACCTTGAGAGGCCATCCTTATGTGTGAACTGTTCTGTCTCCTCACCCCCTCCCTTGTTGGACTAAGGGCCATTTTAATGTTATTTTAACTTGATTGTATTTGTAAAGATCTTATCTCCAAATAAGGTCACAGTCTGATGCAACTGAGGTTAGGATTCCAATATATCTTTTAGGGCAGACATAATTCAACCCATAAAATACACTCCTTAAACACCCTATACGGGCTCCTCCAGGGTAAGTACCAAGTTGTATCCTAAGTATCTGTTCCTTTTAGACTTCTGCTTCTCCCCACTTCACCATCTACTCTTAGGTTCCAAGCCTTTTCCCATGGCCCAGCCTCTCCCACCTCTCCCCTTATGTTTTTTTTCTTTTTCTCCTTCTCTTTGCCTGGCAAATTCCTGTTCACTCTTCATTTCTTACCTTAAATGTTACAATTTTAGAGAAATTTTCTCTGGTCACCCTCTCTTGATTGTATCTTCCTCATGTTGTTTGTTCTTTATGATTCCCCTTCTATCCTCCCTACACGTTTCATGATTTGTAAGTATACATTTAATTGTGTGGTTGATTGGTGGGAGTGGTCGATGTCAGGAATTCCTAGTCTGAAAGCACAGTGAAGGTTGGGACCCACCTACTCACCAGTGAATTTCTGGCACCATAATTCATCAACTGGAGCAGAAATTCCATACATATTTATTACATGAATTTGGATCTTTGACGACATCATACCACCTCACATTGTGGGAAGAGTGAATGTTCAATAAATTATAATTATTCTTGCCTGTGTCCTCCAAGAGACTGCAAGTTCCTTGAGGGTAGGCTAGGTCTCATCCTTTTATGAATCTTTAGCATCTAACTCCTCCTTCTTTATGTTTTATTGTTAAGTGGGAGACATTATTATAGTTAGCTAAATTAGGGAGAAATATTAAGGCAGTCAGACAGGGTTAGGCTCACAACTGAGCCAGGGCAGAAGATGAGAACACATCACAACTGTGGCGGAGGTGGATCTGCCAAAGACTAGACCTCAAGATAAAGCCAGGAGTGACTAGGCCAACATCCTTCCCTGAGAGGTAGATAATAACTTCAGATTACACTATAATTTGTATCTGCTTGTCTAATAAAGCCCAGATAGACATCAGTCACCTTTGTGCCTTCCATGTACCCTTGCTATGTGACTTGTTTCTCTATTGGATCAATATTAGCTAAGTGGCTATACTTGTAATCTTATCAGTTGAATATATTTTGATCCATGTTGTACTCACCCCGTGACTTTGCTCTATAAAACTGGTCTCTGTGGCAATCCACTTTCATGTCCCTGCTTGTCTCTCAAGAGCTATCTCTCAATAAATCTTTCCTCCTCTTAACCTTTGTTGTTCCTTAGAACTCATTCTTTGATTTTGGGGGACACAAACTCAGTATATTTGACACCTAGCAAGTTGATGAAAGGGAAAAACTGTGCAAGAGAAATTGTTCTTAAAACTTTGTTCTTTTGAAGCTGCCTAGCTCTGCAACTGCTTCATGGCTTTGTAATTACTTTCTTGACTCCTGTAACCACAAGAATATAACTGAACATACAGGATACTTGATTATACCAAAACTTATGGTCATTAATCTAATCTTGTAACTAATGGTCATTAATCTAGCCCTGTAATCAATGATCTCACCCTGCCAGCTAATCAGGAGAACTGCCAAGCTGTTCTGTCTCATCTTTGTACCTCCTGCCTGTTCATCATATAAAAGCCCTAGACCACCAGAGATTGGGGCCTGATATTCAGGGAATGATCTCAATCAGTGCCTGTCGATCTAAATAAATCTGCCTGCAAATCCTGGGTGTCATTTTGGTGTTTCTGCTTGCCGATGCATCAGAAGTTATATTGCTCCTATATCAGCATGGTAAATTACTCTGCAATTTAGGAGCTTAAAACAATATTTATTGTTTCTAATTTCTATACAATTATAATTTATGTGAGTTAGGAATTTGAGTGATTTTGCTGGATGTTTCCAGTTCAAAGCCCTCACAAGGTTATATTTAAGACTTTGGTCAGGACCATCGTCACCTGTACCAAGCCTGGACCCCCGAGGTGGCTCAGGCACTTGGGTGGCAAGTTGGAGCTGGTTGTTGGCAGGAGGCTGGGTGGTTTCTACCCATGTGAGCCTCCCCATAGGGCTGCTTGAGTGTCCTAGCAGCATAGGATTTCCTATGAGTGATCAAGAGAGAGCAAAGAGGAAGCTCAGTGTCTTTTGTGATTTAACCTTGAAACTCATAGTCCGCAATATCCTACCACTGCTCAGCCCTACTCTCTGTGGAAGGGAATTACAAAGCGTGGAGTATCAGGAACCAAAAACTATCCTAGTCCATGTGGGCTGGTTACCACACTCCATCTAAACTAGATCTTCTTTCTTCCCCCAACTACTTGCCCCACCCTTTTCTCAATCATACCGTTGTCAGTTATCGCGTATGGTTCCACATTCATTTAGTTATTTCACTCTGTCACCCTCCATCCCTCCAACAGACTGTAACTCGGTGGATTTTTTTTTTTTTTTTAAACTAAGTCTAGAGATTCGCTTCTGCCTGAATTATAACAAGTGTTTCTGTTTTCCTTCTTAGTTCACGGCCTGGTAAGGCTTCTACAAACGTTTGCTTAAAGCGCTAAATGATAAACAGTTTGGAGAATCCAGGGAGTCTAGATCTCTCTTCCCTAAAACTGTGCGGCTGAAAACCACACAGTAGGGGACAAAATTCCGATCAAGTGCGGCTGCCAAGCTTGCCACAAACTTAGCAACGCGGGGCGGGAGGAACTGAAGCCTCTGGTTACTTGGGGTGCGTCACTTCCGGGGCTTGAGGTCTTGAGGAATTACTTCCGGGGAGCGGCGCGGCTGCACAGGAGGTAAGCGCTGAGGTTCCCGCAGGTGTCCGGCGTTTCTCTGTGGGGCGGAGTTGGAGCAGCAGAGGGAACCGAGAGAAAGGGTGGGTCTGGTGCCAAGACAGGCGTTGCTCGGCAGGAGGCATAAATAACTTCCTGTGGCGTGTGGTGGGAAGTTACTTGCCGTGGGAAGTTTGAATTGCAGTTTTGCGGAAGGCCTCGCCTGCTGCTGTCCACCCTTTAGTTCCGAGCCTGGGCCGGAACTCGGGCTCCCCGGCCACGTCCTGGCCTTCCCCGCCGCAGATGGAGCCGCACCCCGGGAGTCAGTGTGGCTGGGGCTCGGATCCCGTGTTTGCCCAGTGTTGCTTTGTGAACGCTGGGCAAGTCGTCTTTCCTCTTTGGTCCTCCGTTTCTCCTGTGTAAACTGGGCGTATAGACGTGTTCAGAGAATGAAATGAGACAGTGAATGTAAAGTGCTCCGGTGTTCAGTGGAATTTGAGGCGAATTGATTCTCTGAATACAGTAGTCTCACACTGTATTCCCGCTATTTTGCTTACCTGTGGTCTGAAAATAGTAAGTGGAAAAACTCCCCAGATAAGCAGGTAATAAGTTTTAAATTTGTATTCTGAGTAGCATGATGAAATCTTGAGCCTTTCCTCTGTCCTGCCTTGAATTTCAGTCATCCCTTTGTACAGCGGATCCATGCTGTATATGTCACCCACTCATTAGTCTTCTAATAGCCATCTCTGTTATTAGATCAGCTATGCAGTACCACAGTACTTGTGTTCAAGCAGCCCTTATTTTATCTTATAATGGGCCCCAAGCTCAAGAGTAGTGATGCTATCAATTTGAATACGCCAAAGAGAAGGTAGAAAATGCTTCCTTTAAGTGAAAAGGTGAAAGTTCTGACTTAATGAGGAAAAAAATCAGATATGTTGCTAAAATCTACTGTATGAATGAATCTATGAGATTGTGAAGAAGGAAAATGTTTTTGCTAGCACATTTCAGATTGCAAAAGTTACAACCAAAGTGTGTGATAGGTGCTTAGATAAGATACAGACGACATTAAATTTATGGGTGTGGGGCTGGGGATTTAGCTCAGCGGCAAAGTGCCTGCCCGGCAAGCGCAAGGTCGTGAGTTCTGTTCCCGGTGCAGTAGAAAAACAAAAACAAAAAACAAAAACAAAAAACAAAAAAAAAAATGTATGGGTGGAAGACATCAACAGAACATATGTTCCAGTTAATGGAAATGTGTTGCACCAGAAAGCATTGAGTGTATATGGAAACTTCAGCAAGGGAGTCCCTGAAATGGGTAACGTGGAACCATTCCCTCTAAGTAAGGGATGCTTGTACTGGTTCAGGAATAGATTTGAATTGAAAAATAGAAAAATGGATAGAGAGGCTGCATCCCCTGATGAAGAAGCTTCTGCCACATTTCCAGCAGAAGTGGAAAAGCATATTGAAAGATTTCCAGCAGAAGTGGAAGAACATATTGAAGGCCATGCAGAAGTGTTAACAATTGTGGAATTAGAAAATGGATTGAGCCTTCTGCAAAAAGGGGGAAGATAAGAAACTGAAGCAGAAACAATGTGGACATTAGGGAAATTGGCTGAACGGTTGCAGATTTTATAGACTCGAAAGGACAAAATTAGGGAATACCATCCTTGGGTAGAATGCAGTGTTAAAGTCCCCCAGATAATCACTGAAGGATTACATCCTCTATGGCAACACTTTGATGAATTAAAAAGAGACAACTTCCCATTACAGTGTTCTTCCAAGAGGTGTCCACAAAACACCTTCAACTGTAGGGGATTCATCATTTGCTTCTGATACCCAGTCATCCATATTGATGTGGCTCCGTGGTCCAAGATCACTGAAGCAGATTGTCCTTCTGACCTCAGCAGGTCAGTGATAGCCTACCCATGTTACAGTACCTGTGTCATTCACTTCATTTCGTCATGTAGGCATTGTATCATCTCACACCACGAGAAGAAGGGTAAGTACAGAAAAGATTTTGAAAGACAGATTGTATTCACATAATTTTTATTCCAGTATATTGTTAGAATCATACTATTATCAATTGTTGTTGTTAATCTCTTACTGTACCTAGTTTGTAAATTAAACTTTATAGAAAGGAAGAAACAGTATATTTTAGCATTCAGTATTATCTATAGTTATGGGTATCTACTAGGGGTCTTGGCATGTATCCCCCATGGATATGTATCCCACACGTAGTGGAAGCAACTGTGTAGAATCTCACACTTTTAAAGCCAGACATGATGGCACACACCTGTAATCCCTCAGCACTTGGGAGGCTGTGGTAGGAGGATTGTTGTGAGTTCAAGGCCAGACTGAGCTACATAGTGAGTACAAGGCCAGCCTGAACTACACAGTGATACTTTGTCTCAAAAAAAACCCCCAAAACGAAAAAAACAGTCATATTTTATAGTCACAGCAAATTTGAAATAATTATGTTTTGGCTGAATATGAAGGTGTAAGCCTGTAATCCCCAGCCACCTGGGAGACTGAGGCAAGTGCATCACTACTTTGAGACCAGTCTGGGCAATTTAGCAATGTCCTGTCTCAAAATAAACAGTGTTGGGAAATATAACCCAGTGGTAGACCATGTGCCTAGCATGTGCGCGGCCCTGAGTTTAATCTGCAATACTGCCAAAAAACAATTTTTTTTTTTATTTTCAAGACATCTACATAACAGTTTCAGTTTACCAGTCACTGATGACTCTGGCCTGGCAGATGGCTTGGCTTTCCATCAGACAAAATTCTAACCCAATTTTGAGCAGCTTTGGGAATTTGTGATAGTGGGATAAATCTCGGTGTACAGCACATTGCTATAAGGCATTACCTCTTGACACTGGTTTTCAATCCCCAGGCAGTTTCAGTTGAATTCTCAGAACAGAATTTGAAAACCTTGTCACTAGAAGCCAAGAATCCCCATGCCAAAATACTGTACACCTTTGGGGGAAAGTTTGGGAGATGGTGAAGTCTCTGACAGTTTTGGAATCTGGCCTTTTCAGTCTTAGAAGACATTTCATATTTGCAAAGACTTGAGAACTATACATGTCTCCATGGTTGTTCATTTTGAAATGTTGACTTATTTTTAAAAATCTTATTTTAGAACAATTTTAGATTTGCAGTTATTGTGAAGGTACTGCAGTGAGTTCCCATATGGTATATTTGTCAAATTAATGAATCAATATTGATATTTATTATGAACTAAAATCCATACATTATTCAGATTTTCTCAGTTTTCCCCTAATATTCCTTTTCTGTATTAGTATCCCATCTAGGATGCCACAGTATTTTTGTATGTGTGTATGTGTGTGTGTGTTACTGGGGATTGACTCCATCACTTCATATTAAACTATATCCCCAGCCCTTTTTTATTTTTAATTTTTTGAGACAGTGTCATTCTAAGTCACTAAATTGCCAGGTCTTGGCTTGAATTTGCAATTCTGCTTCAGCTCTAGAGTTCTGGGATTACGGGTGCATATTGCCATGCCCAGCTGACAGTTATTTAGTAACCATGTCTCTTTAGGCTCCTCTGGGCTGTGACAGTTTCTCAGACTTTCCCTGTTTTAGGTGGATCTGACAGTTGTAAGGATTACTGGTCAGACTTTTGCAGAATAACCCTCCAATTGGAATTTGTCTATTTTCTTCACAATTAGACTAGGCATATGGGTTTTAGGGAGAACAACCATAAAAGTTAAGGCTCGAGGGTACACAGAATCAATATGAATTATTATTGTTGATGTTTGTTACGGTTTATGTCTGTGTGTCCCCCCAAAGCCTCCTGCGGCCCTGGGCAGGCTATTAGAGTTTGAATATGGGTGTGAGAGCTGCATCCCGCCCCCCCCCCCCAGTGGATAGTTTGCATATGTAAGGGACAGGAAAAGAGTGCTTGGGGCATTCCTGCCCCATTCCCTGGTGGGTGCTTGCGGCTTAGCTGTGTGCTGCCACCCTGAGATGCAGCCCCTGCCACGTGCCACTCTGCCTTGTAATCTGCCAAGTACGGATTGAAACTTCCACGAACTGTAAGCGAAATAAACCTTTCCTTCCTTAATTTTGGGCGTCAGGTATTTTGTCCCAGCAGCGAGAAAAAAGTAACCAAGAAAATGTTAACCCTTGACATAGTAGTCCAGTGTTGTTGTTTACTGTAAATTCCTTCCTCCCAGTTTCATACTGTACTCTTAGAAGAAAGTCATTATGTGTAGCCCACACTTACGAGTGTGGAATTAGGCCTCACACTTAAAGGCAGAGGATCTGCATAAATTATTTGAAATTCTCAATGGGAGATTTGTCTATTCTTCAGTTATTTCTTATTTATTTGCATCAATATAGACTCATGGATATTTATTGTATACTTTGGGTTATAATCTGGCACTCCTTTGTTACTCTAATTATTCCAACTTTGGCCTTTGGGAGCTTTCCCTGTGACATACTCCCCTCAACATTTTGTTGTTTGTTTGTTGGTGCATATTAGGTATATAGCAGTGATAGTGAACCTCTAGAGCTTTCAGTGATATAAACAGCCTGCTGCAGTACACATGCCATAGGTTCGCCACCACTGGTATATAGAATGGTGGGTTTCATTTTAGCATATTTGTGCATGTAATATTTTTATTTGCTTTTTTAAAAACACCTTCATACTTCCTACTCCATGCTCATCCTTTATATCTGCCATTTCCCAAGGAGCCCTGGTTCCTTTTATTAGAGAATGGCCCACAATCCAAGACCTGGGCAAGAAACAATTCCTTCCTTCTGTGATGTCCTTGCTTCTGGGCCCGCTCAGTGCACAGAGCAAGATACACACACGCACGCACACACACACGTCTGTGGATATTTCCGTATGTAACTTGTAGTATCTGTATTAAGTTGAACATATTCATGTCTCCAATTCTTATTCATTACTACATGGATTTTACTAGCTTTCTTCTCTTCGTTACCTGTAACCTCCTCACTGAACCTCTGACAAACGTGACTTCTACCATCTCTTTACTTACGTGTTAATTCTGGTGTACAGGTTTTAGAATGGCTTACCTGTGTCCCCCATGGGAAGCAACTTTATCAACTAGATTATTATTTGTATATATAGCTCATTTTGCCTTTACTTTGATAGACTCCTCTCATTTCCAAAGTTAGTTAGGTCAGCATTTTATTACCTCCATCCTTTCAGTGATATTTAAAATACTGAGGTTCAGAATGTCACTGTGTATATTACATCCTAAGATACTGAGACCTATGATTTTTATTTTTATTTATTTATTTATCTATTTATTTTGTACTGGAGGTAACATAATTATGTTGGGATATACACAGATACCTTTAAAGGATATGGAAAACATAATATTTGTTAAGTTAAAGTTTTTTGAGAAGAGTTGAGCTCTAAAATGTAGGAAATGTTTTTAAATATACATCATAATTACAAAATGTAACGTGCAATTTGAAACTTGCGTTGGAAAGAAATAAAAATGGAGTGTACATACCAAGAATTTATGTAGAATATAGTGGAAAAATAAAAATTAACAAAAATAGAGATTTCAGTGCCCCACAATCACTAAAAACAAAAAAGCCAACAAAAATATGAAACCTACTAACACATAAGAAATAATTTCATTCACCTGTGGAACTATTACAGTGAACTTCCTGTGATACTTTTATTTTTTTTTATTTTTTTTTTTTCTGTGATACTTTTAAATGCTATGATAATTGCTGGAATAACTGAAGAATTTGCCACATTGCTTACCTACATAAGATCTTCCCCCAGTGCACTTTTTCTTTGACAATGACTGTGACTGATGAAAGCTTTCCTTCATTGCTTTCTTACATAGTGTAGGGTTTCTGCACAATGTTACTCCGTTTATGCCTATACAATGAACTGTGCTTAGCGAAGGCTTCTCCACATTACTTACATACAAAGGGTTTTTCTCCATTGTGACTCTTTTTATGTCTATAAAATGAACTCTTACTAGTGAAGCCTTCCCCACATTGCTTACATTCATAGGGTATCTCTCAAGTGTGATAACTTTCAAGTCTATGAAATAATCTCTTATTAGTGAAGGCTTCCCTACATAGGCTACATATATAGGGTTTCTCTATACTGTGACTCTTTTTATGTCTATAAAGTGAACTATGATTAGCAAAGGCTTCCCCACATTGCTTACATACATAGGGCTTCTCTCCAGTGTGACTTCTTTCATGTGCTTGACAATTACTGCGAATGGTAGAAGCTTTCTGACACAGCTTACATACATAGGGTTTTTCTCCAGTGTGAGACATTTCATGTGTTCGACAACTTTTGCATAGCCTAAAAGCTTTCCCACACTGCTTACATACATATGATTTTTCTCCAGTGTGAATGGTTTTATGCATACAAAATGAGCTGTTGGAAACAAATACTTTCCCACATTGCTTACATACATAGGGTTTCTCTCCAGTGTGAATTGTTTCATGTGCTTGACAATTATAGCGTTGCCTGAAAGCTTTCCCACAATGCTTTCATACATAGGGTTTTTCTCCAGTGTGAGTACTTTCATGTGTTTCACAATTACTGCGATGTGTGAAAGCTTTCCCACACTGCTTACGTATGTAGCAGTTCTGGTACTCTACACGATCAGAGAAACTTCTCTAGTAACATTATAGAAATGATCCTTGAAAGTATAGCTTTGACCCATGATTTTTAAAACAGATGCATACATTAAAGTTTATTCCTACTGCTATAAAATCTTATGGATTTTGACAAATGTGTAATGTCTTTTCTTCACCATTACATTTATCATATACAGTAGTTTCCCCTTTGTCCGGGATTATTTTAAATGTTCACATTTTATCTCAGCAATCCTGTTGGCATTCTCTACAGTATATCTAACCTGAAAATCTGCCTGTTCTACTACCCCCTTGGTATGTCTTTTGATTGTTCTAATAGTCTTTTAACTAATTTTCCTGCTTCCATTCTTTCTCCCTACAGTCATTCTCAAC